AAAAAAACCCACCCGGACGGGCTCTCGCGGGGGGGGGGGGGGAGTTATCCGTCCCCCCTGCTGTATCTAAATTTCGGGTGAGGGGTGGGGGGGGGGGTAATTTGGTGTTGTTGCGGTGATGTAGGCATTTGATCATTGGCAACGCACTTCGTTTGAAGACTGAGCACTGCCGTTGCTGATACGTTTTACGTACGGGCTGCGTTGCTCCTCTACTCGGTTTTATCTCCCTTTGCTACAGCGGTCGTTCACTCGATACTAATATCTCATAGTATAATATATCATCGCTTGTCCCCTTCTCTACAACAGCCACAAAGAGCAAACAACAGCTTCAGCAACAGCGCAACTGCCAGGACACCACCCTTTCGCGCCATCATCATCAACGACAGCAACAAGAAATTGCCAATAGCAGCAGCAGCAGCAGCAGCAGCAGCAACAACAAAAGCAACAACCGCCATAGCAGCAGCAGCAGCAACAACAACAGCAGCAGCAGCAGCACCATCATCATCAACGACAGCAACAACCGTAATGACAACAACAACAGCAGCAGCAGCAGCAGCAGCAGCAGCACCGCCGCCACCACCACCAACACGACCAACACCAACACCAACGACCTGGCTCACCTGCACAAGTGTGCGTTCCTCCGAGGGCAACGGCCACAGCAGTGCGGCCAGTTCCGAGATCTATCGGGGCAAGGTTATCACCCATGGTGTTCAGGACGTCCCCTATTGACGCGTTGCTGCCCTGACCAAGCTGACCACTGGACCCAAAGCCTGCTCCGCCCACACGTACGAAAGGGCGACACGGTCTAGTTAGATTTTCGTGGGAGATGTTGCTGCTTTCACACGTAGGAGTGCAACCCTGTGTAGTCGCTGACAATACCCCTAAGAGCCTGTTGCTCACTGCCATCGTCAACGAATTGCTAAGGAAGCGCCGGTGGTTGACATTTGGGGTTGTGTCTTCGACAGACGGCGATGACGGCGACAAGCGCAGCGCAAGTCGCGAGTGCGCTTGGCGACGTTCTTTCCGGCGGCGATCACCATGAACGAGCAAAACATGAGCAGCAGCAGCAGCAGCAATGATGACGATGACAACACCACAACAACAAGGACTACGACAAAAACGCAACAACAACAACGACCACATCCACTACCACCAGCAACAACAACACAAGGCGAAACAGCAACAACACACACCAATTCCATCAACACCAGCAGCCAAGCAACAACAACACCGGCAGCAGCGGCAAAAAAGCAACGCCATACCACCACCACCACCACCACCGCCAGCAAAGCAACAACAACACCGCCAGCAGAAAAGCGACACCTTATATCCCAGTAGCACACATATCCCAGCAGCAGCGAAGCAACACCTTACCCCAGCAGTAGCAAATCAACCCAGCAGCAAAAGCGAGACAGCTTACCCCAGCACTTGACGTCGCCCTCGTAGAGCAGCGCGCAGGTGTGGAAGAAGCCAGCCTCAACGGCAATCGCCCTCTGGCCCAGGCCGAGGTCCACCGCAGCTAGCGCGTCCCCCATCCCCCCCCTCCCATCAATCTCGACACCGGTGCCCCTGGGAAGCCGGTCTTCGTACCCCAGCTGCCCCCCGTCATTGTTCCCTGGTGTTGAATGAAGCACATAAACAGAACGGGCTCGCGACTAAGACTGACTAATTATGTTTCAAGGAAACCGGAAACCCGACACAATTTCACGAAACATAAAGAAATGATGTAGGGTCTAAGAAAATAAATACCGCTACATAGCTAGCTAGCTACTGTAGCTCATCGGTGGTGGATCCAGCGCTAATCTCTACCATATAAGTATGTGTACAAGCTGCTGTGCTCGATGGTGGCATCGAAAAAAGAAGAATCGAAGGACAGGACAGGCTTAAGAAGTAACACCGCTAAATAGCAAGCTCGGCGGTGGATGCTGCACGGAATTTCCACCGTGTTTGAAACCGCTGTGCTCGACGGTAGCAGCGGCGGAACAAGAAATTGTGAATGTATGTATATTTTCAACGCAGTGGTGGTCCCGATTACACCGTACCGCGGTCCCGAGTAGCGCGGGTCCCAAACACCACGGAAAAAACCCCGCTTGTTCACGAGATTTGGCTACGAGCTACATATTCCCCAACACCTCAATAGTGCGGCGTCCCGATATACCGCGGTTGGTTTAGCTTGTTGTCAGGAAAAACCGCGGTACATCGGGACCATCGGTCTCCACTGACCCCAGCACTTGACGGTGCCGTCTTCCATCGTGGCGCAGGCGTGCTTCGCACCGACAGCCACCGAGGACACCACGGAACCGGTGCCGAGGTCGACGAACGGCAAGTCGTCCCCCATCTCGTCTGGCTCATCCCCTCTGTTCTCCGTGTCCCCCAGACCCAACTGCCCCACCTCGTTCGCCCCCCAGCACCGCACCGACCCCCCGGTCAGCACCGCGCATGCCGCGGAGCCCCCCAGGGACATGGACTCCACGGAGAGGCCGCTGTTGCCGCTGAAGTCGACGGTGGGAAGGTTTTCGCCCATCTCGAAGATGTCATCGTTGGGGCCGCCGCGGGCCTCCGTGTCCCCCAGCCCAAGCTGGCCCCCCTCGTTCTGCCCCCAGCATTTCACGGAGCCCCCGTCCACGGAGACCGCGCAGTTGAACTCGTTTCCGGAGTAAACGGCGGCGGCTTCGAACGTCCCCAGGGGGACCGTGGGGAGGTTGTCGCCCATGTCTGTCGCTTCTAGACCACGGGAGAGCGAGTCCAGTTGGCCCAGCTGCCCCAGCGTGTTGTCGCCGAAGCACTACAATCGGACACAAGCAAGCAGCAGGCGGCGACCGAAAGATGCGCGAGTCGTCACGCATGGTCCGGAGTGTCATCAGTCCAGAGTCATCGCACCCCCGTGCGATAAACGGCTAAATCCGATTTCCGCACGTCGGGTGCGATGACTCGCAAGCTAGGGTAGCTGAGTGCCAACGATTCTGGGGCAACTCTTACCCTCCCTGTAACCTGCCGGTGCTAATAGCATGTTAGTACATACCACGACAGATGGCATCGTCGCAAACCACCCCTTGTTTTGATGTGTCGAATCTGAGAACACCCACACGTACTACATGGAACGACAGCACCATAATGAGTGTTGAGCAACGGCCCGTCGATGCACGCGCCTCTGTATGACTCGACCGCGGCAGGCTTCCCAAACCTCCTGCCACGGCATCCACGTTCTTCCCCATGACATGATATGCTTACTTCGTGTACAAAATGCTGGTGCAGATCACGTTTTCGTGTTGAATTACTCGGTGATTTCCTGGGTAGTGCCGGTACCGGCACGATTCCGGCCGAATATATATTATAATGCCGGTGGCCTGGTATGTAATGCCGGTGCGGTCCATGCGCTCCATCATCGGCTGGACCACACCGACATCACCGGGACCACTACTGTACTTGAAGTTATGCATACTTGTAGCGGAACTGGTGCAGCACGATGGGTGATGGGTTTATATGATAACCGGAACATTTATGTAATAGAGGGGATGGAGGAAGAGAGGCACACAATGTCCAGCCAAGATGGTCCAACAGCGGTGCGAGGAGGGAAAACAAAGACTGGTGTCTTCATACGAATTCAGTAAATGTGTTCCTTGTAACTTGCCGACGGGATTCTATTTTAGTACCGATTGATTGAGTGACAACGGGTGTGCTAACGGCTACAGCAGCGTTCGCATATTCGAAGAATCGATCAATCACCTCCCGTTTCCGAAAAAAGCTGGTGTGGTATTAGCACGCACCACTGCTGCTGTGCAGCAGAGCAAGGGCACACGCTTTGACAAAGAACAGCCACGAAAAAAACACTTGCAAACAGCCAGAGCGTCTAACCTTGACGGTAGCATCGCTGAGCACAGCACAGGAATGGCTGGATCCCGCAGACACAGCTGTTGCCGGGGGAAACAAGGCCGCTGCCACAAGGGCAGTCGCAGCAGCAGCAGCAGCAGCAGCTGAGAACATCGCCATACCGCCGTCGCGCTACGCTGCAGCCTCGCCTGGTAGCTGAAAAACAGCGGGGGCAGATTTAGAACACAACAGGTGCTGCTGTCATTTCGCGCGTGTTCTCACAAGCAAGCAGCAGCTTAATTAATACGCATCCAACCTCTTGGAGGTGTGAAAAAATAAGCCAATTTTGATGATTGTTGATTGTCCCAGCTGCGTTTAGCCGGGCGTGCACTCCTTTAGCCGGGCGTGCACTCCAATCTGCTCACATTGGCCACCCCCCCCCCTATGACTGCCACTTCTGCTCCTGCTACACAACCGATGCTGTACCGCACTAGACCACTGACTGCCGTACCTCTACGGAGTAGAGAACAGAGGGCCTCCAACTCAAAATTCAAGTCAATTTCAGAGCAGCGGCGTTCCGGGTTGTTTGCTGCACATGGGTGAAAACGAAGGTTAGCCTTATCAGGCACGCCTTGGCGTGCCTCGCAAGACAATGATGGATGCTTTGGCAGTATCTAAGATTCAAGGTATCCACGTCCATAAGTCTGAGACAAGGGCGAACGTGGCAGCTGCACTGCTGTCTCGGCTGACACACCCCACGCCACCTGGGCTTACCAAGACCACCGCCGCGTTGATGGTGATGGCTCCAAGCGATATGTACACAGAACAAGGACAGAGTTTTTTTTTTTTTCGCTCTGTCGTCTATGAAGAGCGGATGAACATTACCATTTGTTTTCAAGCATGGGGATTGGATGGGACTTGACGGTCCCGACGAATATTACAACCTGCTGCGAGCTGGACAGCAATCAGCTGATATGTATACGTGCCTACCAGCCTCGAACCACGCAGTCAGCCCAGCTCGACTTTAGAGCTATAGACTGGAGGCAGGAGCTCCGTGCTTGGTGCAAGGGTTGAGCAAGTATTGGGCTATCAACACCGACAACCATCGATGCTCCAACTGGATGAGGGAAGGAACGTTCGGAGGAAATTTCAAAAACACGTTACGGAGCGCGGAGCGGAGCGCGACCGTTCTTTTATTTAAAACGTGCACGCGTCCTTTGGCCACCCGCCTTTGTCCTCCGCACCTCCAGCCAGCCCTCTAATAAAAACAGAGAACGTCGTTGACAACGCGGGGCATGCTTTGGTACGCAAGTGGGATGGTGTTTGCCCTGCGGCGGTGTGCTGTCTTCCATTTCCCGAAAAACACTACTGGTATTACGTACTTCACATATTGTACAACGCTGCTTTTCTGGACCTTGGTTTCCAGCGAGAGACCGAACCGGTCGTCGTTGGCATCGTCGTCTATACACAACACGAGGCACGGCTTCATCTTACGTGTACCATAACGGTCGCGCGGATCCTGACTGCCTGAAAGCCTACTAAAATGCAAAGCCTCAGCTGAGAGCCCCAAAGAAAATGTTTTGCTCAACAGACGAATTTCTACGCGCTCAGGATCGATCGCCTGATGTTGTTGCGCCGGGCCTCGCGCTGTTCCTCAGCCTCGACCCCTTCCTCACACACACGCCATCCGCAACGTGCACCTCTCCTGTACAAGATAGATACACCCGCCCTCACGAGCATCCGAACAACGAACGATGGCCCACGTAAACAACAAGGCGAAGAAGGGCCTCTTTCGGGGTCTATCTTTCAAGAAGCCATCGACCAAGTCGATGAAAATGGACAGCCCCAACCCTCCCGAAGTGAGTTTGTGTAGGCGTTTTGTGAGGGCAGTGGCACCGTACTTGTCTATCAAGACACGAGGTAGACGTCACCTTACGTGCGTGTTAGGGGTCGCGCGAACCCTGACTCCCTGAAGGCCTGCTTCACCCCGGCGCCAACCGAGTTGCAGAGGCGAAGCCTCCAACACGATGCGCGTTGTTGTAGAAGTAGTAGCAAATCACGTGGTGTATGTCCGGCAGCTCCGAGAACAAACAAGATGTTTGCGGAGCAGACCGCAATTTTATACTACCCCTTGCCTGTAACTTTGCACGAAGTCTAACCCGTGTGCCGGCAATGTTTCACAAAGTGGGTGCGTTGTGTCGTTGGGATACAATGCTATGGGGCGATTTCTTTAGAAGCACGGTATTTGTACAGTAGTAATTTCGTAATTTCCATAGGTGGATGAAGAGCGATCACGTTTTGTGTACGGAGAGATACGAGTACGGTAGTGTCCTCTGTATAGTGCCGATCGGCCAATGCCGTGCCTGTTATAGTGAAGTCACACGGCACCACAGATGGAGCGATCAAGTTTGGTGTCCTCAATGTTTTGGGTATTTTTATTTTGCAGTCTCACGAAAGCGGTTGGGTGTGTTATGTTTCGCTTCTTGGGTATTCTTTATTTTCAGTGTTGGGGACGCAATATCTACTGCGTGATCTGCATCGTCTGTTGCCCCGCCCCGCTGTTCCTCAACCTCGACCCCCCTTCCTCACACGCCCTCCGCAACCTGCACCTCTCCTGTACAGGATACACCTGTACTAATAGCCGAACAACAAACGATGGCCCACGTGAAGAAGCCGAGCCTCTTCGGCGGTCTATCTTTCAAGAAGTCATCGATCAACTCTACGAAGGCAATGGACAGCCCCCACCCTCCCGAAGTGAGTCTGTCTGCCGTTTGGCCGGGCTTTTGTCAGGGCGGCAATGTCGTAAAACCATAAATTAAAGACAGGACAGGTCTGGCGTCTACAGCCTACAAAGCAGACGAGCACTCATTCTCCCTATTCAAGCAGAGCAACGGTAGACAGTAGTCATACCAGCAGCAGTTTCTGTAGGATATGTAATGCACACCCTATTTTCTCAAGTCGTTCGTAAAATGCAGCAGTAGACGCACAACGGAGCGCGACACACAGTCTTCTGGCTGTCTATTCTTTATCCAGAGGTGGCTATACAAGACGTTTCTGTGACCTACGGACACAAATCACGTTACCGGGTTGTTTTTCAGTGGCTGTGAACTCAAGTTCCAGATTTTCCAGATTGGCGTAACATGTAGAAGTACCCAGCCGATCGTTCTTCAGTTACATGTCGTGACGATGCCCTATCGCTGTTGACTGCGCCCAGGCCCCACGAGACAAGACGGTGCCCACAACTGTCGTGTCCGGCATGGGAGTCTTACATGGCGAAGTGCCACCTGCCAACCGTGCCGTGCAGTCAGAAGTGACGGAACCCTCCGTGACATCCGTAAGCGACCTGTGTACGAGCGTTGGAGCAGTCACGGACGAAAACGTCGCCAAGCTGTCTGCGGACGCCACACAAAAGATGGGCGATGTAGCCCCTAAGGTCCCGGTTGTGTCATCGCAAGAGACGAACAAGCCCAGCAGAGAGGGTGTGTTGGCTCGCCCGCTGTTGGTTTGTCTATTCGTCGAGCAGCGGTAACGCCGCCCGCGCGTGTGTTTGGTCAACATATTTCCTTCACCGACAATAGCTTGTTACCCCCTCGCCATTGACTACGCCCAGGCCCCCGACGACAAAATTCTTCACATCGTCGAACCCGCTCAGAGTAGCTCATCGGGCGAGGTGTCATCTGCCAGCACAATTCATGCCCAGGGTTCGATACCGGCCGGAGAAGTGGAAGCCTCCAAGCCTTCCACCGGTAACCTCTCGGCGGGTGGTGACGAGGAGGTCCACGACGCAGGAGGCGCTAGTTCGGTCACGCCGCCTCTGGACGTGAAGGTACAAGATGTTAATGGCGTTTTCGCTGTGTCTAGTCTCCGCCCCCCCCCCCTCAAGCTTTGAAATAGGTGAGCAGCAGCGGCTTCTTTGGTGTGATTCGGCTACACAGCTTGTCTTTTCGGCCAGATCCAAGGGACTTGTTGTTAATGGTCGATGAAACCTCCACTTGGTGCCTGCCCATGTCTCTCACTCGTCAATACAAGGGAGCTTGAGTCAATCCTTCGTGCGGAAACGCTCTCGACAAGAGCCCGCGAGCGTGATAGCGCAGTGCACACGCGCCGACAGCCCAAACAAGAGCGTGCACATGTGTTTACTCTTATGTTTATGTGTGGGTGCTGGAAGGAGCACGATCTGTGCTTGTTAATAAAGCAAGGTTTTTGTCATCATCATCGGTGTTGGGTTAACGCAGTCCCCGTACTCAACCCCAACTACCGCGGGAAGGCGCCGTAGCCTCCGCGGGGAGGCGCAGAGGCAAGAACAGGGCCAGGAGGATCCACAGCCAACCCTTCTCTGTGTCGACAGCAACCGACAATTGCCTTCCACATCGTTGATTTCGCCTAGGTCCCTGAGGTCGGAGAGCGATACTTCGTTGTCTCCGGCATGAATTCCTTGCCTGGCGAAGTGGCGGTCAACAGCACGTCGGCACCCACAAGACCTGCGCATGCCTCGAAGCCACCCACGGGCGGGCGGTCTGTCAGCGTGAATTGCGGCGAAGGCTGACGACGTTATTGCCGAGGCTCCGCACGTGCGGTCTCTGGAGGTGAGGACAGCAAGGGTAGAGCTCGATCAGCCGCGTGGCCGCCTCCCCCAACGCCGACAAAGAGCTGGCCTGTAGAGGTGCACGGTTTTCACTGCACCCTCACCCTGTTTCCCTCACCGTTGTACGCATCCCCGTACAGCTTTAGACAGTTGATGGTGAGGTAGGTTTTGCCAGAGATGGCGTGGCTGGCTCTTGCTCCCTTGTTATCCTGCACCCACGGGCACCCAATCTCGAGCCTCACACTACCGCCGGTCTTTCGCATTGGCACTTTTTCGCGGCAGGTTGTAGATACCGATGCACCTACATCAGGAGATGTGTCCGCTCCGATCGAGGGTCGCTTGGCGTCCAACGCTGGCGGACATGCTTCCGTGCCGGATGGGAGCGGGCTCTCGTCCGAGCCAGATTAAACAGCCTCAGGTTCTGGCAACGCTGCGTTTCACGATTTTTCCAAGGGCTTGGTGGTGCCCTATAGCCCTTTAGTACAAATCGTCTGTGGACGTGCCATCTGAGCGAGAAAGTTCCTCGAAGTGTGCCGAAAGTCAGCCACGCTTGACTGCGCTCTACTGATGCGCGCGATAGCCAAAGCACAAGGCACCAGTAGACGGGAGCGAAACAAGTTGTTAATGTAGCAGACATTGCTGTGTGCATGTTCATTGTGATGTGGCTTTGCTCATAAATACTCGAAACTGATGCGGGCGATCGCCAAAGCCCAAGACGGAGCGAAACAAGTTTTTGATGTAGAATACATAGCTGTCTGCATGTTGGTTGTGATCACCGGCCTTTGCTATTAGTGTATAGTCAGACGTGTGCGGCACCGAACCGCCGCGGCCAAGATCTTGAATTATCCCTTGGCGGTGGGCACGATCCCCGCTGAACACCGTTTGTTCTAGCTCGCCATAGATAGGGCGAACTCTCCAGATCCTCGTTCCGTTCAATTCGCACGTGCACGCGATTCCATAGGGGGGAATTTTCGGTGTTTCGAGGTCAAGCGCCAGTCTAACGCGAGTGTAGTTCCGATTCGTGTCGGCAGTCCATGCACTCGCACTTACAAGAGTGGCTACGATCTCACCTACCTTACTTTGTAGGCCTTCGAGCAGCTACCACGATTCGCTGGTACGGAGCCTAGGGCGGATAGAGAGGCTTGTGGCGCAGGGGGAGTTCCCTCGAAACTAAGTAACCATAGGAATACCGGAAGGAGGGGCCGGCGGGGCGGGGAGGGGGGCGTGGAGTATAAAAACAAGGTGGAGTGGTAAGGGATGTCGTAGTCAGACATTCTCGCGCGACGATCGGAGGCTTCGATAGCGTCATGGCCATGTGTGAATTGGTTGCGGAGGTTGATTACGCTCGTATCATGCGTGAATGGTGAAGCCGTGTTGCGCAGTTCCGGGAGCGGGGCGTGTGGCACGAGGGTAATATAGAAACAATACGGGGTGGTACGTGATACTATTGTGGTCAGACTTTCTCGCGCGACGATCGGAGGCTTCAACCGCGTCATTGCCATCATGTGTGAGTTGGTTCCGGAGGTTGGCTAGGCTGGAAATACCATGCGTGAATGATGAAGCCGCGGTCCGCAATTTATCCGATAACAAGAGGTTTGGACATTGCAAGGGGCACGCTATTTGTATGTGGTGGGTGTGCCTGAAAGGTTGTATCTGTTCTACAGTTGACAGCCCCGTAGTATCGCTGGCACCCTAGACCTGGATTGTTGTTGTTGTTGTTGTTGTTGTTGTTGTTTTTGTTGTCTTCACATTAAAAAACGTTCCGTTTTCTCTACCCAATACCTTCTTCCGTCCGTACTAGTCTAACACTTGACGCGGTCGATTCCCGTGGTCACAGGCTAACTCCCCCCAAAAAGGTATACGGAAATACAATGGACCCGAAAGGGTCAGCACGTCAATAGAAATCAACGACAGAGGGTCTAGGACACTCCGCTCGCCTCTGCACGCTATGCGAGGTAACCATAATAAACTGGAAAGTAGAAGGAATGAGAAAAAGAAAAAGAAAAGAAGAGCGCAGAGGGAGAAAAAAGGTACGAAAAAAGACGCAGAGAAATACACACGCCAGAGGCACTACGTAGCGACAAGGGGTTCCATCCGGCACAGCATTTCGCGCAACTCGGTCCGCCTCGTCGCGTTTCCTGTCTTCCCTCCCGCCCCGTGGTTGTTGCCGTGTCCGTGCTGTTGCCGGGCTTGTTGTTTCGTTTGAGCGCTCGTCGTCGGCTAACCTCCTCTTCATCCTAGGCACAAGCTCAAATACAACTTCTGAGGTTAGTTCTCAAATACGCGCGAAGTACAAGAAGTCCTTAAGTTATAGTTTCAACTACGTGGGCTCCTCTCGCTCGACCGGAGTATCGGTGGGATGACATGGTGGTTTGTTCGCCATGGTCTGGAACCGTTGGAGACAAAAGGCTCACTATCATGAACTCTGGTGTTGGCTTGCCGACCCCATCTATCATGAATTCTCCGTCCCCTAAACCCAAGTGGGGTAAGGCGTGCCAACATTCGAGTTGCTCCGAGAAGGGGTGGGTAAACTGTCGTGAAACATCGAAGGGAGGTCCGACCCCATAACGATTCGCCCAGGTGTTTCGTGTGTGTTCGCCATGCACGCATCAAACGTGCTAGGTTGGGCCTGTTGTTGTTGTTGTTGTTGCTGCTGTGAGAAATCCACGCTGTACGGCGGTGATGGGCCAACAAGCGTTGTCCCTTGCAAACCAAGCCAGTGCTGTACTTCATATGTTCCCCGTTCTGGGATTCCGAGGGTCTCGTCGACTATCGCAAGCTGGCCTCTCAAAGACATCTTTTTTCGTGTAAACACATACCGCCCCTCGGCTGCACTGCACAGCCGGGTCACCTAATCCTTAGCACGGCTGTGAGGATGTTCGCGCCTGTCGACCATCAGTGCTAATCACATCCTGCGAGCGTTGCCCTGCGAACCGTATCAAGCCTGCATGCTGTTTAACCTTCCATCAAAAGGCAAAGCCTTCGAGGTGGGGCCGGCTTTGGTTCACATCTTGGTAGCCAAGTGTCGATTTTCTCCATCTATAAGGCAGACCTGTGCGGGGTAGTAGCACCGGCATATCCTCTGCCAACGGCATGTTGGCCATATTATTTTTCGTTCATTCACCAGCAAACGATTGGGGGTATAATGAGAGGTTCCGAATCGCTGATGATCTGATGAAAGGTGAGATGCTTGCTGCTGCTGATGGAAACAGGAGACATCGGCGGAGCTTTTTTCTTCTTTCTCGTGCCCTCAACGAAACCAGGCCGAAACATTGCAACCCATTGCAATACTCTGAATATCGTTGCATGTAGGGAACGTGGTGATCCGTAGGGTTTACCAACAGCAGTGTCTCGCTGTGCCGTCAACGCCGGCTCAGCAAGCCAGTCGATACATATACGTACGTGCGGAGCAGCACGCGGGCCGTCCATCACTCGTCCCGCAACTGCCCTGTTTTCTCTTTCTAGAACGACATATCGCTCCACACCTCCACGCAATACACATGCGATGATAAATGGGCCGATCGGCTCCTCTTGCACTCGGAAATACGACCTGGAGTGGAAGGAAGACAATCACAAGCGGAAGCTCGCGGATCCAAAACGCGGCGGGATTATTTTCGTCCATCAGGGTTTCCAGTATTTTCGCAGTCCCGCGAAGGCTTTTCTCTGTGACATAAAAAACCAGACCATGGAACTACGCACTAATTCCTAGTGAAAACTTGTGGTTCCATGATTTCGATTGTCCACACGTTTTTGGTGGCGCAGGTCTTGGCACAGCAGTAGTAGCTTGCGCTCCCGCTCAACACATCTTCATCATGGCACCCGTACCTAAGAAGCTCGCAGGGGCGTCTGCCACGGAGAAGCGCGCCCGGAAGGCCCGGCCTTCCCACAACAAGGGGGTGAGTTTCGACTGGCCATGGCTTTTTGCAGGGATGGTTGCATCCCTTGACAACCTCTGTCCGCTTGTTGGTGGTGTGGAGGGTCCATGACACCCGTTCAGTGTTGCTCAAGGTGTCGAGGAGCTTGGAAGCTGTAAGGGTCTACTCCCGTTCGACAATGTTGGTGACGGTGATGGGGCCATCGCAGAGTATCTGTCATTTCTGGGGATATTTGCATTTCGTTGGTTTGAGTAATTGGTGGAGAGCCGATCACATCGAAACACAAACATAACGCAGCTAGCGTGCAGGTCGAGTTGCAGATCTACCGACTGCTGCTGTGTACACCACCTACATCTCTGGGTGGGATACTCAGATTTATTGGATGCGAAACGTGGCTCAAATAGAATTGATCACCAGAGGCTGCGTGGTAACAACGGGGTGTCGGTCTCGAACATCCCGACCATGACGCATAATACCACCCCCCATGTGGGTGCATACCAGCTTAGCGCCCCGTTCCCTCTCAACAGGGAACAGTGCTTTAGAAATGTCCTGTTATAGAAACCTCGTGGTTGTCAATTTCTCGTACCTCCCAGCTTTGCAGCCTGTCCAGAGAACAGAGACAACCTTGTGTGTTGTAGAAAAGGAATCGAGCTTCAGAAAATCACACCAGCGCTCCCAGAGGAGGAGGTGGTATTGGGCGTAAGCTGGCCGGCAACCCCCGTCACGCCTCGGCCTGAGACAGATATACACGCCGCCCTTGTGCAGAAAGATAGAGAGACCGAGACCATGAAAACACGGGGATATGGCAGTGGTCGCGGAAACAGTCAGACTTTGTGCTACAAAATAACTGCTGTTCGCTGGTTGATAGGCTTACGTTTTGGTTCACCCGCGAGGGCGGCGCACTATTTAGCACCAAAAGCGGTTGACCTGAATCGGAACTTACGAGGCTGTCCGGGGAATATGTAACCGTCACAGCAGTAGCGGAGTCTTCGGGACTTCGGGATCTTTCCATTGCGGAACAAGTTCCGCCGCCTGTGCCACATCGCATTGAAACCCCTCACGGATGCATCCATCTGGCTGTAGTCGTCACAAGCACACCTTTGGGTACAGGGGCTTGCAGTTTCATGAACCTTTCGTCTCTTGTACGTAACTTAACTCATATTTTTGCCATGAGCCGATCAAGGTTGGAGCGGTTCCGTGTTACTCCAAATGCACGTGCAGATCATTCTTTTTCTTTTCTTTTGGGTGGTAAAGGAAGCGGCGGAGAAGGCTTGTCGTTCAAAGCGAGAGGTCTCGGTACACAGCGCTGATAAGTCCATGACCATCAAAACCGCTACTGCGCAAAGCACCAAGCAACGTGATTCCAGTGGTTTGAATATTTTTCGCCGTCTCACAGAACACTTGGCACTACTGATAGCGCTCGACTCTAGTCTGTTCGCGAAAGGGGGTGGGGGGCAAGGCACAAGGTGTGCAGGATTTTACCGGGCTTAAGCAGGATACAGTGCGGCATAGTTTTAATTCGTCCCCAAGTAGTTTTGCAGAGGGAGCAACTACCTGGTGCGTGGCGTGGAGGAAAGGTTGCCATGAAAGTTTGATGGCCATCCACGCGCGAAAATAGCTCTCTTGCGACAGAGGGAAACTGGAATAACCGTACAGCCTCTTCGTGCTGTCTTCTTCAACTTGGAAAACATCTACCCATGAACGGACACGGTCAACGACCCTCTTTTGGTTTTGTCGCCGGCGGCATGCGCTGCTGTGGCGAACATGTGGCATTGTCATTAGTTCCTGTCTACTGCGTGTCCATGCTACAGTATTTGGACGGCGCAACCGTTTGCGTTCTACGTGGACCCCGTGCTGTTCATTTTCCCGTTGAATCACTCCGACCGCTCGCTCGCGTCCAGTATGGGCAGCCGAGAGTTGTATTGTAACACACCGCCGCATTGAAGTTTATATATCGCAACAGCCTCATCTCATCCGCGGATAGGAGTTTGACCTAGAACCGAAAGTAGCCCACGTATACGCCCGCTTGCGGTCGCAGGCTCCACGTATCCTTTTTTTGGTACCCAAAACCTTTTTCGACGTTGTCGAGACCGCCCCGGTCTCGCAGCGTATGCTGTTCTTTCCGCCCTCTGTCCGCCGCTGGGGTGCTGTAGCTCACCGGTCTCTGCGATCGAATGCTGCCTGAGTCCATCTCGCGGTGCAAGTACAACGGGGACGACTTTTCTGGCTTGGTATTGACAGTACGGCAGGCGCTCTTGCTTACAAGTCGGTGTTGTTTTGAACCCGCGGGTAATTTGATCTCCTCTCGCGCTTGCCGCTGATCATTATTTGTTTACTACAAATTCAAGGAAGTACGTTTACCAGGCCCTCGGCATGCGGCGCTCCAAGCGGTACATGCCACCCCTCGGTTTTTCTTCAAAATTGCACCTGTTTCAGTTTCTGTCGCGCTGGCAAGAATACGAATCACACCCTGTATAACTGTAACTAAACAACTATACTATCAGTACGAATTCCAGAACGCCCAACCCCCCCGTCCCCCGTCCCCCGTCCCTGCCCCCCCATACCCCCTTCGTTTTTATCAGCGTCTCGGCAACCGCGTCAAGATGGTGCGGGAAGTCGTCCGCGAGGTGGCGGGCCTCATGCCCTACGAGAAGCGCATCCTCGACATGATCAAGACTGGCGGCGCGTCCGCAGAGAAGCGCATCTACAAGTTTGCCAAGCGGAGGGTGAGTACATGGCGTGGTCAGATGTCTTCTGTTTGTCAAGGACACATGACATGTATTTTTAATTTTTTCTCTCCACAAGTTTCGGAGGGTGAGGACCGTGGTTTGGCTTCTTGTTTCAAGTGCACATCAGCAGATAGTATTCTCTCTGCAAGTTTGCCAAGCGGAGGGTAAGGAGCGTGTTTTTTTTTTTTTCTGGCGGACATAACGTCAGATAATATTATCTCTACAAGTTTTATGGAGGGTGGGCGTGGTTTATTCTTGTCATTTCAAGTGCACATCACGAGACCATTATATCTCTACAAGTTGGCCAAGCAGAGGATGGGGAGGGCGGTTTAGACGTGTCTTTTCAAGTGAAGAACACCAGAAGCTTACTATTTGTCTACAAGTTTGCCGAGCGGAGGGTAAGGAGCGTGGTCGGATATCATGTTTTCAAGTACACATATCCTGAAGGGATGGCTTTCCCGTTCCATACGAGATATGCATAGAAGAGCATGTGTTGAAGGATGTGCTTTGCCGGATGATGATTTTAAGTACCCATACCATCACAAAATGACTACCCATGAAACTCACGGGAATGTACCGGAAATCCTTGCTGTGAAGCTCTCGATGATTGCCAGTGTCTTCAGAATGTGTGTCGTGAATGGAAATACTTGTTAAGAGGAACGTAATGGGTAGGATAATTACATTTATGGTGCGGCTGGTTTCATCATTACCATTTCTTGTTGCGACACCGACGACCGGCCTGAACTACTCTGCTCCAGTTGGATGTTGTTCGTGCTGGAAAAACAGCCGTAAACAATCCCTTACGCTGCCAGATGAAAACACACAAGTGTCGCAGTGCAACGAGTATGGTACCTGTTACGTTTTTTTCATGAACGGTGTAGCAATCGTGGTTACACCGCTTTTTATGGCTCCACAATGTTGCATGAAAAGATGCAAAAGATATCTGCAACTTTGGTCGGGAACTTTGTCAATAATACGTTTTGTGCACGCTCATTATGGGACGAAGAAAGTTTTGTGCACGGGACTGGCGGAATGCGGAGGCGTGATCTTTTTTTTAAATCAGCGACGGCGAAAGAAGGCATGCGCCTTTCATATTGCACCGCGAAAGAACAGGTCACATCGTGCGGGAGAGGGTAGTTGCAACCTTGTTTCTCCACACTCACGATACCCCAAGGCATCTGACCTGGAACCAGAAAGATGCTGGGTACAGCTAGCTCCCTCGGGGTGGCATTGTTGTTGCTGTTGCCTTCTCCTTCGAAAAGTTATCGCTGGAAACCAAACCATGCCCACGTTATCCCTGCGAACTTGAACCAACTGCTCTCCGACGCGGTACTTTGGGGTCGATCAAAACTTTTTTCCCGATGCGCACGATACCCCACGACACCAAACCTTGAGCATGAAAGATGGAGCAGAGAGCTATCTCCCACCGAGCGGCCTTGCTATTGCTGTGGCTTCCTCCTTCGGAAGGTTATCGGTTGATAACCAAACCCGTGGCGGTCAAAAACATGGAGCTTGAACTATTTAACCGCTCGCGGCCGTTGACGGTTGTGCACAGTACAATTTTTGTTCCCGGCGCATTCGGCACCTCACGGCCCCAAACCTGCATTGCCCAACAGCCCATGGCATCACCTCCTTCCAGATACCATTCATGAGGCAACTCGTTAAGTATTCGTCGAGATATCGGTGATCACAGCCTTCCCACAATCGACGCTGGAGAGGGTCTACGTGTGCGGTATAGTTGCCGCCGTGCAGCTTTTCTCGCCCCTTCCCGACTCGAGAAAAGCTGCCAAACTTTTCGGCCAGATTGCAGCTTTTCGCTCCGAAAAAAAAATTGAGAACTTTTCGTGCAACTTTTAGCTCCGATACTGAGCGTACATTAGCAAAGCTGCAAGAAAAGTTGCAGAAATGCAGCTTTTTTTGCAGCATTGTGGAGCCATAAAAAGCGGTGTTACAGGTCCTGTGGCTGTTGACGCCATGGTTTAATTTTCAGAATACCTCGAGATCCTGCTACGGTGCACAGGCCGACACGTGTATGCATATGCGCCGAGGCTGTCTTTGCCCCCGCGCATGGCAGCCGTCCTTTTTTTTTTGTCGGCTTGCAAAATTCGTCTGTGTGACACCTCTCTCGGACATGTATGTACATCTGCTTCTGTTGATGTCGTTTCTTGGGGGAGTGTTTAGGCATTCATTATTATTATTATTTTTGCTTGTATGCTGCACAAACCCACGCGTCTTGGATAAGCGTTTGCCTGGATGTCAGGAACGCATTTTTTGGTTAGAGGCAAAAGCCGGCGGTGTTTGATGGCCGAAGATATGCGGGCGTCTGTCTGGTTCTATTTCCTGCCGGACCATGAGCAATTGCCCGATTTCCTAGCTGTTTTCTGTTTTGATTCGATGCTAATGTCCCGGCAATCTAGAGACTGCTTGCACGCTTAGTAGGCAGGTGCGGACAATCTCAGCCATGCGGTGGCTCGCCTTTTTTTTCCGTTACAAAACACAACGGGTCCATCCCTACACAAGAATCCAAGATATATTCGATGAAATATTTTCTGCTACGTACATGCATCGGTGTGACTTCGGCTGGTGAACATAATTTAGCATTTTTTTTTTTTGCTGCAACAAGTACCATGTATTGGTATGACTTTGGCTGGCGAACGCCGCGGTCTGTTCGGGGGAAGAAGTGAGGGTATCGTCGGACCTCTGCTCCTTCTTCTTGCCGCGAACGATGTATTCTTGGTGAGGAATTGGTCGGCTATTCTCCGTGTCCTGTAGCGAAGCAAAGTGCAGCGTTTATCATGACCATCCGTTCCTCCTCTTCTCCCTCTCGTCCCTTTTGCACGCCCCGCGTCCACTTTTGTCGTTTGCAGCTGGGCACCCACAAGCGGGCTCTTGCCAAGCGCGAGGACATCAAGGAGGTCTACTCCAAGATGCGCGCTCGCCAGGCGATGAACTAAGTCCCGTCGACGAACTGAGTCTCGTTTTTCTGTCCTTGGAACTATCGCGATTGCCTTCCGTAGACTTATCTGCGTCGCGGAGCGCCGTCTGTTGATACCTTTTGTAGACCCGTCTGCTGTGTCGTCCATGCCGGCGCGGTCTGTTCTTTTCGGCGCCGTATGCCACTGCCAGTTTGGCAATGTCCATGGTGACCGCTCTCGCGCGGGGGGTGCAGGCTCGAGCCTAGGGTTCAGATAACCCACTGGGCGATTCCTGTGAATGGTTGTTTACGAAAAAGGGTTAGGTGTCAAAGCCTTTGATCCGTTTCGGGGACAGCAGTAACGGGACTTGGGTGTGGAGGCCGGGGGTCTTAGGGATAAGATTCACGAGGGTGAGCTAAACTACTACTTCTGCTGTGCTGCGCTTCGGCGCAGCGGTGCAAAACAAAAATGAACAAAAATATCCTGGAACAAGGTTCTCATGCGCCGAATCAAGCGCGCGAAACGCCGGTCACACTCTCTTTGCACCGGAAGTCGGCGCTGGTTGATGTTGAGCAACCAGTGTCCGTTTCGTTGGGGCCTCTTCTTCAGACTTGGTTGTGGCTGTTTTGCATCAGCCTGAGCCTGTGCTTTAGTCGAGCTCCGAGCGTTGTTTGCATAATAACTGCATGATACACAACTGAAGAGAGCAGGTTCCCTCAAGAGACGAGCAGGTTCCTCAAGAGACCATGGGAACCGGTTGGTGCGAATTGTCGATCGACGGAACGACATGCGGTATACCTCCCGCTGGCGCCAACTCGTTGTTGTCTTCACCAAGGGTCTACGTGATTTTTTTATCAAGACACGCACGCACATGGAGGCCTACTAAGCGAAAATCGGGGTCCGGGGGGGGAGATAGCCGAGAAATCGAAAATTGTCCTCCAGCGGGGCGCGCGCGCGGGGGGGTGCTATGTGTCCGGCATTTTTGTTTCACGTACAGCAGTAGACCCACACATAAATACAACACCCAACAAGAAAACGTATGTTGCCAACACACACACGCGTTGTGACATCAACCGCAGGCACACCGGTTCACAGATTTACAGCAGCGTTATGACTATTTTCTTGAGTCTTCCACCATTTGCGGCGGTTACTCCCCAGCAGCACCTGTCTGTCTGCGCTGCCTGAGAGAAAATGAAAATTGTGAACAACTGCATCACCCACCACTGCGGTCATGCCTTCTTGGCGACAGGGTTCTTGTTGCTTTTAGAAATTATTTCTGCAAATAAAATGGCCGCAGCAGCAGCAGCAGCAGCTAGAGTCCTGTTAGTTGTCGACAGACACTGCGGCGTTCCCATAAAGAAGAAATATTTTGTGGAACACTATAGAACACACGACTTTAAACCAGTAAATGAGGGCTTTCGTCCCCAATCAGAAGAACTTCCCAACACTCCGTCATGTCTCGAACGGGTTGTCTTCACGTGACTGCATGTTTCTATGTATGTCCCCATGTAGTTGTGATATTTTCTGAACACAATCAGGTCATCTGCACACAAATAAATGCCGCGGCCCAATCCTCTAGAAAAACTAAATGTGTGGCCCGTGTCCACGGAAGGAATTAGAGACAGTAACGAAGTGGCGGCAGGTGTAGTCTAGAGGTGACGAAACATATCACACCAAGAAAGGAATGTTCACATTTTGTAACTAGTACTGCTGCACATGCACATACATATATATCCAAGGGTGTATGTATAATCATGGCAACAAAATAGATTCGATCTGAACGGAGTTGCATTATGTAGGTGTGGGAACCGTAGGCGTGTGTGTGCTTGGTGTGCCTTCCCCGGGGTACTTGCGTTACGTGTGAAGGGTTCAGCGTTGATTTCCGTCCATCTCTATTGAAACGTTCCAATTTTGCTGATCGTTGAGAAGAGAAAGAAGCCCCGCCACTAGGCCTCCCACCCGCGAAGATCGCGAGGAGCGGAAAGTCTATGTGCGGCCTCGAGCAAAAAAGATCTATCGAAGGAAAGAAAAGATTTCTTGGAAAATTGGTTTCTTCTTTTTGCATGTGTTATTTCCCGATGCTGGATGGAGCACACACCAAAAGCGTGTTTGTTATCTCGACATGTATGACGCGTAGACTAGCACCTGCAGTAGTAGCGTAGATGGGATCATCAACCACACACACACACGCACGCAGTACAGAGGTCAAGATGATTGTGCCGTCGTCGGGATACGTGGGTGTCGTGTTTTCATCCTACCACATGAAAAATTCTTCGATCATCGCTTGGGAGATCGAACACGGCCAGTCACGGGACTGTCGCGCTACGCAGCAAGTAGCACAAAGAGACCGGAATTGACATCGCAGACCCTACCACCTGTCAGTACCACTTCAGATTCTCAAGGCAGATTCTGGAGGCAGCCGCAGGAAGTGACTCGAGCAGTAGTAGTAGAACCACACCCTTCTTCTTCGCCTCCTGTGGATCGCCGGAGCCGTCGGACTGTTCTCAACAAACGAGCAACGAGGTGAAGCACCCTCTGGAATATTCCCGGTCGCTGAGCGACATACTACTGCTGTAGACTCTTGCCTGTATGTATCGGGCAACTGCTGTCCTCTCACAAGCCGTGGATGATATCATATATATGCGAGAATGCCATGGGTGATGTGTTTAGAAACTTGAGTTGACTCGACTGCAGACCCAGGCGCACAGAGCGTTTCATCACGCCTCGCCCCCAGGGGCGGATCACTCGTGATCGACAGCATGAACACATGCACTCATTCACAGCGGTGTGCGTGACCGGGTTGTTGCCTCCGAACATCATGTACAAATAGACTACTTGTACAATACCGTGAAGAAGGTCGGAAAGTTACATGATGGCCACGACGGAGGAAAAAATTATGAATGGACGCGACGAATGCCCAAGAGGAATGTCAGAGAGTGCTATGCACCGCTCGCTGTTGCTGTACCTCATTGGGTAGACGGTCGTGCCTATCGCAGAATGAAAGCTTTTGTGCTCTATACACGATCTCATCAAATCCCCAACGTGTATGTTGATTTCTGGTGAGTGTGAAGTCGGTCGACATGTCGACATCAAACTTAAACCTTGATTGTGACTGCTGTGCTGCTGCGGGGTTCGAACTCTTCGTTCGAGTGTGTAGAGGCGGCTTTTCTTTGGAACTTGGAAAAAGTGTATGGCTTAGAAACTACTCTCCTCACGAACTTGCGAACGTACGTGTTCAATCTCGATTCAACGGCTCTCTCTCGTCCTTGCATCCAAGGCCCAAAGCTTCTCCACGCGGTGTAGCGTGCCGGTGTACCCCGGGACACACAACAACTGCCTAAGCTGTGAAAGTATATACTAAGATCATTCCGTAATAATTTGACAGAATTGTGAATGATGGTGATTGACAAATGCACTGGTCTGCAAAAAGTTGGATTTGTCTGTTCTGAGAGAGTGACAACTTCGGGCCAACAGCAGGGAGAGGCTGCGTTCGTTGTTGTTGTTGTTGTTGTTGTTGTTGTTGTCGTCTTCACATTAAAAACCGCCCCGATCTCTCTCTACCCAGTGCCTTCGTATGTCCGTACTGATCCAACACTCGACGCGGTCGATTCCTCCCGTGGTCACAGGTTAACTTACCCTAAAAAGGTACACTCAAATAAACTGGCCCCGAGGGTCCGCAAGTCAATAGAAATCAACGACAGATATTCTGGAGTCCTCCACTCCCTCTGCGCGCTATGCGAGGTACAAACTAAGACTATAGGAGTCACTGTCACGGGCCGGAGAAAAAGAGGTATACCCCTTGGTTCAATCTTGGTACTTCACAACGCAAGCAGTAGGCTGCGTTGTACCCTACACTGCTGCGACGTCCATGATGAACATCGGCGGCACATGTATCTCGGTTGATGGCTTGGACCCTACGTACAGTAGCTTGACATTTTTTTCGTACTTGATGGACATGCGACTTCAATCGTACAGAACGTGCCACCTGCTTTATTCATGTAAGAACACTATCTATCTTCTTGTAAGCAAACCTTTCGGGGTGCTAGTTTCCCCACTGATCAGAGAAGGAGCCAGGGTTGTTGTTGTGGATGTTGTTGTTGTTGTTGTCTTCAAATTAAAAACCGTTCTGGTCTCCACTCCAGTCAAAATACCTCCCGGTGACATCTGTCATACAGCCGAATGTCCGTACTGACTGGTCCAACTGACGCGCGGACGCCTTCCGTGGTCACAAGCCAACTACACACCCGAAAGGTTTGCTCTAAGAAAATGTGTTCTTACATTAATGAAGAAGTAGGTGGCACGTTCTGTACGATTGAAGTCGACCCCATGTCCATGAGGTATGAAAAAAATGGGGCGGACGCCTTCCGTGGTCACAGTCCCACCACAGGGAGCAAGTGGATTCCTGTTGATATTTTTCGTGGAGAAAGGGAGCCCTCAAGTACTTGACCACATTCGTACCAAAACTCCTTGATGGTGGCTGGGGCGTTCTGAACCCGGTAATCCGGTAATCATGAACTCGTGAGGGTCGCCGTGCGACGTTCTATTTTCTTCCGCATAACAAGAAACTCAGATTCCGCGTCCGCTACAGAACGCGCCACCGCTCAAGAACTCAGGAGTCAAGAAATCGAGGCCCAAAGAAAAACTATTCGAACCTGGGGCACTTTTTGTGAGCTCGGTTGAAAACCTCTATACTAACACCTATTGTCCAGAGACAAGGCTAGACTTCGATATTCCCAGGCTCACACACACAGTCTCTCCGAGTTCAGTTGTAGACATATACCAAGCGTTCCATTATCAACACAAGCGAGCAACCAGCGGTACTCCAATTATGCATGCGTTCCAACTCCTCCGATACTCCATCATCCGCTCAGGCATGCATGCAGGCGTGGTCATGACTTACAGTTGTGATATCAGGTCAATAGCGCTCAGGTCGGGTTCGTTCACAACTGTTTCGTGCTCAGTTTCCGGGCATCAAAGTCACTGACGGCAAGCGGCAAGGTAGCTGCAAGCCGCCATTCGGAGGAACCGTTTCTTCATCGCGCGGGGAATGGTAACCAATGGGAATTCTTCCGTTGGTTTCCAATATTTACCCGAGAGACGCTTACATCTTCTCGATAGACCCCTCCGAGCGTATGTGGGTAATATCCAAGTGCCCACCAAGGGATGTGTACTCCGGACACTTGTGTCTTTGCGTCACAAGTGTCCATCCTCGCACCATTTAGAACCGGCACATACGGCCGCCCGGAACACTTTACAGCGACCATTCGTAGCATGACCCTAGGAACTATGAACCCAAACCTCGGCCGAAACTATTAGTCTTATAGACTAGAGGTTGTTGAGTGACGCGTTCTGTACAACTTCGTCTCCTGCTTCCTGGGTTTGACTCTCAACGTAGCCTTCATGGGGGGCTACGGTATTTCGCGAGGTTTTGCGCCAAATCCTTATCGTCTCCCGTCACCATTTCGCGCCGCCTTCGCCGATCGACCTCTCAGGGACCGTGTTCATACCCTGCGGGAAAAGCAGGGTAGTATCTACGGGAGACACGCGACGCCGCAGGTATCATGTTGTCCTCCTTGCCGGCTGAGACCGCTTTCCCACAGCACAAACGGCGGAGCATCAAGGGCATGAAGGTGCTGGGCACCCCCAACCTCGAGCCCCCCTCGTCTTGCTTGTCCTCGCTGACGTCTAATCCGAGTGCGTTTTTCGGGCCGGCGTGGTCGCCATCGTCATCGCCAGCGTCGACAGTTCGATCGCCCCTGCCCCTCGACGCCGACCAGCCGGGAAGCCCGGGATCTTCGCGTGCAGAGTCCCTTCGAAAGGAGAAAGCGTTCTCCTCGGCGACTGGCAAGGCGACGCGGAGCTATGTTCACGAGGAGGAGGGCAGGGCAACGACTCCACAAAAGCATAGGACGCACGGCGGTGCCGTTAACGATACACAAAAGCATAGGACGCACGGCGGTGCCGTTAACGATAGACGGAAATTATCGTTCGGGGGTTTGTCGAAGGGGTTACTCCGCCTCCTCGGCCAAAGGACTCTCAGCGATGATTCATCGAAAACCGGTCCCAAGACCGGAAAACAGGATGCGCCGAAAGCCAAGGTCGTGTTTCCTGGAGATCGGTCCGAAGAAGATAGAGAGTCCGACGAAGCCCCTTCGACGGATTCCGTCACCGACGAACGACGCCAACCCCCCTTCGGCGGAGGAGACGAGGCCGAGGTCGCTCTTCCTGGAGATCGGTCCGAAGAATACAAAGAGTCCAGAGAAGCTCCTTCGATGGATTCCATCACCGACGAAGAGTGCCAACTCCCTTCCGGCGGAGGAGACGCGCTTCCTGGAGATTGGTCCGAACAAGACGAAGAGTCCAGCGAAGCTCCTTCGACGGATTCTGTCACCGACGACGAACGATTCCAACTCCCTTCCCGCGGAGGAGACGAGGTCCCTCACCAAGTGCGCTCGCCACTGGTAGTAGGACCGTCGAAGAGAGTTGCCGCCGAAGAAGCAGACGTGGAAAACTGCAGGCCCGCAACGATAGATCCAAGGGCGGTGGAGATTGCCGCGCCCTCCACCGCCGAGCTGGCGAAGGCGGCGGTAATGCCAGACACCCTGGTAAGGCAAGCGGCGGAACAAGGGTTGGTGTTGCCTTGCGGCCCCTCGGATGAAGAAAAGGTGAGAGGATGGTCGTCAGCTAGCGCGTGCACTGAAGAACTAGGCAGTTAAGAAATTGTGCTTGGAAAATTCTGAGAACTTGAACACCACTTGTGGGCCCAATAAACCACCTTTGTGGCATAACCGTAGGAGCAAGAACCCCAGGCTCGGCAAAAACTAACGGGTTTTAAGTGCAGGCGCTGACTCTACGTGTGTGTGGAAAGAGTGTCTTGTTTCGAGGAGCTGTGGAGAGTGGCGCCCCTTTGTCGACAACTTATGGCACGTGCCCATCATGCCGCTGCGTCCATTCATCAAGAACGCACTCTAATCTCTAACGCGTGGCGCGCCAATTGCGGGTGATGCTACTACCGCCGCTGCTGGCGACGCGACACGTTCCCCAGGTTTTGTACCACAAGTCTGGACGTCTAACGATGCTCTCAACGGGGTTCGTGAGTTTCTGCACTTTGTTGACCGGCATGTCCTTGTTCACCATGTCCTCGCCACATTTCTACTGGTACGGCGCACCTACTATTTTCGTGGTCGTCCACATATGCTGCCATTGTGAGTATTTAGTCAGAAATCAGCCTTTTTCACCTTTCGTTTTGTTGCCTTGCCAAAGGGTCAGCCTCTATATGGCAACGTACTACGGCAGGATTGCCCTTTTATTTGTCGAACCTTGCTGTCTATTGTAGTGCATGACCTAAAGCACAGAGGAAGGCATCGCCAAGCAACGTAAAACGGGTCCCGGTGTGATACTGATCTTGCGCCGACCCGGCTCTCGCCAAACACCTCCAAACTGTGTCTGCCCTAACGGTTTCACTGATTGTACTCTTGAACCTAAACCATGTACTGGTATGTACGTTTCACCGGTGGCATCAAACCCACACGTGTGTCCGCACGTCCTCCACACGTGCTCAGGCCTCACTTTTCCCTGAACATGACTGAACCACGCGACACACGCCTACTTCCTTGCTCATTTTATGTTGTGGGTCCAACCCAAAGGCAGTGCCAAAGGCAGTGGGGTATGGTAACGGGTACGCGTGCAACTCCTGCGGGCAAACTCCAGCACCAAGGTGGCATCCCGGGGCTCCACACCCTCTCCTCCACCTTTGACCCGTTCACACGATCCCTCTGTCTGGACAGATTTCGGCGTGTCCATCTGGGGGAGGGACTTCGATCCAGAGATTCACGCGTGCGTTGTTCGGCACGGCCTGGACGTGGCGTTCTCCCCGACGGTGGACGTGTTCCTGCCCGTGTGCAACGAGCCGGCGGTCCTGCTGGCCAACACCTGGAACCACGTGCTGGCGATGGACTACCCCCACGTGACGGTTCACGTACTGGACGACGGCGCCAAGGACGAGGTCAAGGCTCTCGCGGGAGAGTATGGGTTCCAATGTGAGTTGTACTGGCGAGAAGGAAGGGCAGGAGCCCGCATGATAACCGTCATGCGCGACGCCAAGGGTTGGGACCAGATGCATCTGTCAAAACAAGACGAAATCGAGCTACAGGCACCCATAGCCGATCGATCGACTGCTGTGTGACACACAGATTCATTCGCGAGCATCCGACACGGCTCACGCCCTTGTTCACCACCCACAATACTGAGATGGGACATTACTTTGTCCTCAACTTTGGGGAGGCACTTAAGGAAGTGGAGCTTTCTTCGACGTTTGGGTGGAATAACAATCCTGCCGCGCTCTGCACGCCTACCAGACATTCGGCGGGACAACCGCCCCGAGTTAAAGAAGGCGGGAAATCTCCGCCACGCCTTCGCGCGGACGTCGGGCGAAGTTATCGTCATCTTCGACGCCGACTTCTGCCCAAGACCTGACTTCTTGCGAGAGACCCTTCCGTACCTGGTGGACCCCTCCATCGGCATCCTTCAAACGCCGCAGTTCTTTCGCCGCCGGGAGGAACAGACGTGGGTGGAGCAGGGTGCGGGGGCAAGCCAGGAACACTTTTATCGCTTGATCCAGGTGAGACAACGGGGCGGAAAGCCCCGCTGCGCAAGGGTCGGTGGCGTCGTGCGTGTAGAGCTCCCGCACGCTTGCTTGGTCGCCGGGGCTTGCAGCCACTCGACGCGGGCATCGCGTTGCGATGGGGGTCGCAGCACAATAGTAGCGACCACTGCCGGTAGAAAAAAAGAACGTCCGTCGGGTGTTGCGGTCCAGCGTCAAAGTACAACACGCCTCCTTGGTGCCGTGCAACGCTTTGAAGAACACTCGGAATGCACCTTGACCCAGCACCGTTCGTTGTCGTACGCAGCTCAACAAAGCAACCAATCGTCCAGGCAACATATCGTTCCTGCGAACCTCTTCGCTCTAACCCCACCCCCGGTCCCGAAAGCCATATCTTCACACGCCGTCGTGCTGTCGTTGCCTACCAATGCTGCTGTGCGCCTTCCTTGTGCGGGCACCTCCACTGCCGCCGTCACCATTCTTGTTGTCTTCAGGTTAATCTGGACCGCTTCAATGCTGCCGTCTGCGTGGGGTCCTGTGGATTGTACCGCCGCACGGCGGTGGAGCCTTTCGGTGGCGTAGCGCCTATCGAGCACTCGGAGGACATGTACACCGGGTACAAGATGACCGAACTTGGGTACAAGGTGCGGTATGTAGGCGCGGAACGTAGTGCGAAACGTCAATTCGCACATGTGCCCTCTTTCTTGGGAGGGCCACCAAACTACACACGCTAGGTAGCGACCGATGTTGCAAGGAACAACATTGGAACGGGGATCAGAAACGTTGTCCCAATCTGAGTTCAAGGTATTGCTTCAAGGTTATGTAGGGGTTAGTGTGGTGAAAAATTGCGGCTCAGTCCCACGTCTTGATCCGAAATCCTTGCATTTCTCAATCATTCTCAGCCTCGGATCCTTTGCTACCTTGCATGCTTACGAGCGGGCCCGCGTTTGCATGGCGATTAGCTCGGAATATGAGCTTATTGTCCAGTACGAGCAGGCCTGTTCGTCCGAACACAAAACGCTCTTCCAACACCTACCTCTGCAACTTCTGCGCATTTGCTCGCTGTTCACAAAGGTGAGGTACCTTCCGTTGTGCCTGGCGATGGGGATCTGTCCCGACGAGCCGCGTTCATTCTTCATGCAGCAGTACCGCTGGTGCATGGGGACATCGACGCTAGTACTCCAGAAAGAATTCTGGCAATCGGAGATCTCCAAGATCCACAAGCTGTGCTTCTTCAACGGCATGCTCTTCTACCTCGCCACGGCCTTGGTACGTGCCTGAGCTTGTATTGACCACGACGACGCTGCTTTGAGCCTGTGTTTTGTTGCCACCTACCGATTGAAAGACCGACGGAAGCCGACGACTACATGAGTCGCATGTAGCGACACGCAGACGAGCCACGTCTACTCTGTGCTCCTCTTAAACTGTTTCCGTTGTTGTTATTAATGACTCCTGCGCTGTTTGCACTTTTTGGGGTGATAGTTTTCACTCCACACATATACAAACGACAGAATTACGCGCATGTATCGTGGACGTTGCCTACCAGTAAGCATGAAAGTGGACTGCGACGCCGTGAGAGAGTCTCCGGTCGGGAGGGAGAAATTGACGTTGTAGTAGTTGTGGTGGCATCGATATGTCTCTCGCTTACCACGTTGCTTCTCGTGGTCATCTTGCAAACCGCCCAAAACGCTATTTTGTCTCCTCGCTGCACGAACGTCTCCGCGCCCTCGCTTCCCACGCGCACCTTCCAGTTCGTCTTCCTAGGACCCATGCCAATCTTGCTCCTGATTTGGATGAAGGCCGACGAAGTGCTGAGAAATTGACGTTGCAGTAGTTGCGGTTGCATCGATATGTCTCTCGCTTACCACGTTGCTTCTCGTGGCCACCTTGCAAACCGCCCACAACGCTATTTTGTCTCCTCGCTGCACGAACGTCTCCGCGCCCTGGCCGCCCACGCGCACCTTCCAGTTCGTCTTCCTAGGACCCATGCCAATCTTGCTCCTGATTTGGATGAAGGCCGACGAAGTGCTGTGGTTTTACTACGGCTTCACGGTCCCGGCTCTCATCTACTCTCTGGTAGTCGTCCCGACGTGGTCGAAGCAAGACTCAGTCTTCAAAGCACTGACTGCTCAACGCATCAAGGTTCTCCAGAGGTAAAACCACGACCCCACAGGGGCTTTTTCTTACCATCCCATGCATGTTGTGTTCGGTCTGAGTCTATTCGGCTCCTTGCCCCCCAAGATCTGCCCACGATAGAAGAACCGTTTGATGCCCAGGACAACTCCGTCAGACTTGAACCCCTCCCCAAGGCTCCACGTACATGCTGTGTTCGGTTCAGCCGATTAGGCTACCAACTCTCTCAAGATGTGTCAACCGTAGGACCGTATCATCATTGATGCCCAGGACAACGCTCTCAGACGCTAATCCCCTCCTCAAGTCTCAAGCTCTGAAGGCGAGGGTCCCTGTTGATGGGATCCGGAAGAGGCGGCGTTGGTTGTGCGAAAGGGGAGGGATACGTTGTTGAGAAGACTACATGGTAACTCTCAACCATTCCTTACAACATCGAAACGACCAGCGTGTAGTGTTCGGTTTTCGCTCTTTTTCTCATATATCCTCTCATATGGTACGTGTATGTTTTTTCAAATACGGTGTCAGTCAACAATACCGTCCTAGGGCTGAAACAGAGGTTCGTTGGCTATACCTAAAGGGAGTCGATAAAAAACCCCTTTCCAGTCTTTGGTAGCAACATGGCAACGTAGTCATTGAGTACAGGTGTCCCCTCGCCGGTCTCGGTAATTATCAGCTCTCGACGCCGCGCTTCATATTTGTGCTTGTTTGCGACAGCTACGCCCACCTGTTCGCGATCAAGGACCGCATCATGGGAACGGTGGCGGCGTGGGTGCCATCGGGCGGGGGCGCCTCGAAGTAAGAGCGGTCGTCTGTCCCGGCTGCGTTTCCCCGTCAGTTATGGCGTCCAGGTTTCAGATACCATAGTCCGTCCCGGTCGTCTTGCAGGTAGCGGCGTTAATCTGTCTTGTCGTACCCCACGGCCTCTACTCCTGGGTGTGCGTGCAAGCCTCCAAGACGCCGTTTGACTTCTTCGCAGGTTTTCTGGCAGAGTTGACGCCGTCGTCTTTCCCAAGCTTGTTCATCTGAAGTGTACCGAACATGCACGGCAGACGTGTATTCGGAGTACACCGTGCGTAGCAGTAGGGTCAATTTTGTTTCTGCTGTCCCGGTCGGTAGGGTTCAGCGCGCACCAAGCGAGTCTCCCTGCCTCGTGTTGCAGCTCACCCTTTTTCATGCGAATCGATTAATAAACATGTCAACACCTGCCGGCGATATCCTCGCTCGGATCAACAACGTCTCTGTATTTAGTCGGTGACAATCAGAATTACCTACCCTACATTCCTGGCCTCTAGGGGCGCGGAGTTCATGGCCTGAAGCGATGGCCACCAAAATTGCAGGGAGCGACCCCCCCCCCCC